TCTGCACCAAGGTGAGAGACCCCGGTGCCCCCTGTGTTCTGGGAAATGCTTCGTAATCAGAGAATCAGAAGAGAAATTATTCCTGGACACACAGAAAGGTCATTAGGGGAAATCAGTAGCTCCTGAGATGCTGGATGTGCAGAGATGTGGCTCCATGCTCCCAGCAGAGTGTCAAGGAGCAATGAGAGCTGCTAGCCCAGGCTGCGAGCAGCCAACAGGTGGGCATGGGCTTTAAAACACAAATATGCTCAGATTAATTATTGACTGCAGAGGAAAAAAAGGAAAAAAAGTGAATAAGGGGAGAGTTTGCACAGCCATGGGACCCTGTGAGAACAGCATCACCCTCCCACTTAAGCACATCCATTCCCAGAGGCATCACCATGCCCAGCCCTGGGATGCCATAGACAGGCAGAGATAATATTACAATATGGCATGAGAATACTGCTGGGTATGTCTGCTAAGCTAGAAAATCCTTTAAATTAAGGAGAAAGAGCTGAGGTAGCCCTGTCTGAGCTCACACTGTCCTTCCAGCTCCAAGAGCAGGAACAGAGCCAGCACAGTCCAACTCACTGCCCCACCCTCTGGACTACTCCCCAGCTATATTGATACACCCAATCCTTTTGAGGAAGGAAAATCCCAGCTCAGAAGCATAGATTTGCTGCTGGTAATGGAGGGAAGAATCTGCCAGTTGTCACACAGGGAAATAAAAACACCCCCTGCCAAATATTTTTTTTTTTCAAAAAGAGCACTGCATATTCAAGAACAGAGGATCGCGCTATTAAAACCTCTGCATCCAAAGGCACATTTCCAACCTTCAAATTGCTTGACTCAGCAAGTATTTGTAATATGTAGTATTTGTAATATGACTTCTTAAGGTCTTTTAACCAATAAAAGCCAATAAAGACCTCTTCCCCAAACACTAGAAAGAACCATGGGCCCATCGTGGAGCATCAGCTGAGGTGGGGCTCCACAGCTCCCACTTCCTACTTTTCTTCTGTCCTCAAATTCATCTTCCCTCCAAACTGAAACCAGAGCCCCAAGCCTGCCCTTCACCCAGCCTCCCCTCCATATGGAGGCTGTCCTCTGCAGTCGCTGCCCAGCATCACCTCTGCTCACAGTATCTACCCACAGTGACATGTGCAGCACTGTACTTGTATGCACACAGGGATGTGTGTGTGTGTGCCTGTCCTGAGGGACACCCGTGGGTGCTGCTTTCGAACTCACCTGCCCTCCCCATGTAGCCCTGGGCTGGGGAAATGCATCTGCAGGCAGAGCACCAGCTGAAGGCTGGAGCTGGGGCCACTGACAGCTCCAGAGAGAGTCTCACATTTCAGTGTGCTTTATTGCAAGCCTTTAGCACGGATGAGGTGTAAAACAAGTGAATATAAATCGAGTGAGGATAGAAGGCTCACATCTAGTGCACAGATCAGCTTCATGCACACAAACCAGGAATATTCATGTATTCTGCAGCCTGGCTGGGGCACGGGGCAACAGTGTACACAAAGGGTCACTGTTATTATTTCTCATTTTTACCTTGGTGGCACTTTGCAGCTCAGCTGGGCACCTTTTGCTCTACAAGCTGTACATGCAGAGCAAGGAGAGCATCCCTTCTGCCCTGCATTGTGGGACTGCTGCTTGCCTGCCTCCCACTCTCTGCTGCTTTGAGCCTGTGCTCTGCAAAGGTGAGCTACAAGGTAATTTCTTCTTTAGAGGAGGAATACCAACAGTCTTGCCTGGCAAGAGTTAAAGCCCATAAAACCAAGGCTTGTAGTTTTGTTTTCTTTCAATTTATACCCTTCACTTAAAGAGGGGTAGGGGGGGAAGAAACGAGGGGGAGAAAAAAAGAAAGCCAGGTGACATATTCTAAGAGGGAGCACCGAAAACGTGTTAAGCACTTCAAAATCTCATATATTCAATCGGCCTCTGGCAAGACATCTGCCTAATGTTAGCGCTTAAATATCCTTTTCCATTTTACATGCATTCAAGTCTCATTTGAGCGAAATGAAACGGTATTATTAAAGGGAGATTTTGCACAAATGGCCTGAATTTGACATGTCAAGTTCAATGAGGCTGTTACATATGTAACACCGAGAAGGGCTCCGAGGCTGCCGCTCTTGAAACAGCGCCAGTGGCTCAGAAATGAAATTTGCATTCAGAGAGCCTTGCCTCGAAGCACGGAGCTGTGCACGAGGCTCGGTTGGACCCACACGGGGTGGAGGAGCCGTGGGGCAAGCACAAGCAGGGGTCTCCCTATGCTCTGGGAGACTGGACACACCAAGAAGGCAGCAGAGCTAGAAACCCAGGTACCTCATTCCCACTCAAGTCTGCTTTTTCAAGTGAAAGCTTGACCCTGCACCAGGGTTGGATCCTCCTGAGTGATGTTCATCGCTGTTCCAACAGCCAGTGTTCATCCCCTGGACACACACAGCCCTTAGGCATGGATGGGTGCTGCCCTGTTGCCACATGTCTCCTCCTGCCTTACTGCGTGATGCTCCAGCTGGGTAGACCTTGAGATGTGCCTGTCCTGAGGCCAGGATGGTCACACCAGCACTGCCCATGAGAGGAAAAAGGGCTGCCCCTGTCTCTGAGGGATAACCAATCCCATTGCCACCAGCTGAGCAAGGGGTTCATTGGAGTGGGTGAGTTGCTCCCGGAGATCTGGAACCATGTGTAGCATCATCCAGGTGGTGCCTACAGCTCCCTTGTATCTCAGCCCCAAGAAGATCCTGTAGTCACCTGGAGAAATTCCTTTTCCTTCCTCTGCCCTCCTCCGAGCTCCCCACTCCAACAACACCTGAAAGTCCAAGTGAGTGCTCAACACCCGGCAGAGGTGATGGCACGGGGCAGCCCCCCCTCCTTGCTTCTCCACCAGCCTCTTGATCTGACCCTACGACAGCATCTTGGCTGGTTCACCCCACCACACAACCCTGCGGCCATGGTCCCTCGGGAGAGATCCCAGCACACAAGGAGTCCCGGTGCTGCAGCAGGAGCTGATGCAGCACCCGCCAAGTCTCCAGCACTGCAGGCTCAGCAGGCAGGAGGGGATCTGCCTTCCTAACCCCGAGAACAGCAAATGTATGATTTTGTTGCAAATCATTAAGGTTTATTAAAACCTTAACATCACAAGCCACGATTGGCTGCATCCTCTTTAAATTAAAAAAAAAAAAAAAAAAAGAAAAGCCCTTGGAAAGCAGCCCCCTGGTTCGCTTCTCCCCATCAGACTGATAAGTAACAGCTGCTCGGCCATTTCGGTAACAAGTCGGTATTGGCAGGGAGCGGCCAGGGCTGCCGGTGCCCGTCACGTTTATAGGCCTACATTTTATTTTTATGTTTATTGGGTTATTTGAGATCATTATTAGTTTCTCTCTTCTCTTGTTGATGTGTTCTTGCTCCTGGCTTCTCCAGGCGGGAAAGGTGGGGGAATGGGAAACAGGGCCACCCGCTACACCGAGCCACCCTGCTGGAGCTGGGCAGTGCATGGGACTTCAACCCTCTCACACTCTGCTGCCTGCTGTTCCTGCCCACTACTGCTGCCCTCCCACCCTGCTGCTGCTGCTGGCCCTTGCATCGCTCCCCTCCGGGACTGGGAGAGCCCATCCCTGTGCAGAGCCGCTGTATTACAGATTAGCCTCCATTGCCTGAATCCATTGCCTAGATTGAACGTTATCTATCATGCTACGGAGGGAGTCGTTATTTAATAATTAATAAAGACCTCTGATTCTTCTTCGCCGCCTGCGTGGCCGAGTGGAGCAGGCCAGGGAAGCGAGGGCAAGCCAGGGAGAGCTGTCTCCTCTCTAACTGCTGCTGTTATTTAAAGGAATAATGCCATTCTTTTTCATTTGTCAGCTGGCCCACAATGGCCCTTGTCATGCTTTATGATTTAGGGTTTCCTTTCCTTTCCCATTAAACGCCACCTTCCCATCACCGCTTCGCGCCAGCCAGCCTCTGCTCCTGGCTTGCGGTTTCAGTTTCACTCTGATATTGGCCCAACTTCTTTGATGGGCTCCTCTGAGCACTAATTGCTTCTGTTCATTTAAACCTGTTCACTAATTTGCAGTGGCCCTTTATTAAGTTGGATGCGGCCCAAATTACACCATAAATTACGCTTGCAAGGGGACTGGGTGTCGCGGGGGATAAATGGGCTGCCTGTTCCCTGCTCCCCCCCTTCTCTATCTTCCTGTGCAGTGCGTGGGGGATGCGGGTCTCAGCTTGAGGCTGCGGGTGTCGAATTTGGGATATCTCAACCCAGATCCGTTCGGGGAGGTCTCCCTCTAACTTAAAGCTCCCTCCTGGTCCCTCCATGTGCAATGGCTATTGCTGAATCAAAGAAGATCCAAGGCAGAGATGGGATGTATTCTGCATCCTCTGCACTGCGCACAGCCACGTGCACCCCATCGCCCCAGCGTACACACACACACTGACACATACGCTCTCCCTCCTCTCCTACCACCTGGTGACGTAACTTTGCTTCTAGTCAGCAGTTTGATTCCTTTCCTCACCTTTTAATGACCGGAGAATTCATTAATAATTGAAATAAACACGCTCTTTTCCAAGGCTGCCGAGTTTTATTAAGGCAGGGGCAGGGATATGCCAACCCTTGGCTGCAGCCATTTCCTAAATAACTGCCAGCAGTTAAAATGCAATTATTTTTTTTTTTTTTTATTAGAGGACTTTTCTGTGCTGGGGAAAGCAGAAGAGAGCTGAAGGTAGCTGAGGAGCAGTGTGCACCAATGCTGCAGGGCTGCTCTTTCATGGGATGTCAGCAACATGAGAGCTGCTCACCAAACACACGTCCCCAGGGAAAGGGATGCCTGTGCCCCCTGGGAAACATTTCTGCCTGACTTTACCATTGCAGGGAACTCCAGGAAAATGTTTCTGCCTTGCTGTCTAGCACTAGATTTCTGGAACTGGTAGCTGTGGGTACCACCATCTCCTCTGCCACCTGCAGGTGCCCCAGCTGGCTCCCCAGGGATGCTGGTGGTCCCCAAGGAGCTGCTTACCTGATGTTCAGCTGGGTGAGCTTCTCCAGCTCCTGTTCCATGTGCTCCTGCAGCTCCCCAGGGCGAAGGAGGACCTGGCAGATGGGGCAGATCGGAGCCTGGCTGTCAAACAAAGTTGCTTTCTTTTTGCCTGTGGGGAGGAAAAGAAGGGAGAAAGCTTTAGCTCAGATTGGCTGCCATCAGTATTGCCTTTGCTCTGCCCTGGTCTCCATCCCAGCATAGGACTGAAACCAGAATATTTTCTCAGGTATAGCCACATTTCTCTCCCCATCCCACACTCCCTGGGGCAGAGATTGGCTCTCTTCTGCAGTGGGACAGCAACTGGCACGAGAGCATCCTAGCCCTGGCTGTGGGCCCTCTAGTCTTACAAGGAGAGCAGCAACAGCTACATTTCAGGAGTGACCCTGCACAACCCCAGCTTCCCTAGTTTGTAGTGCAGGTGGTGTGACTTGGGAAAGATGGATGACACAGCACTGCTCATTGTTCCTATTAGTTACTAACAGTTAATTATGAAGAGCTGTCTTCATCCTCCTTGGCATTCCTGAAGTTGGGTGGATCAGGATGAGCCTTCCCCTGAAGTGCAGAGCAACTCTCCATGGGCACACGATGTTGGGGGGCAGAGGAGAAGCCATGGCACTAGGGTGCACATGGCAGGGAGTAGGTCTCGATGTTCATCATCCAGGATTTCTCACCCTGTCCTGGGGTTGAGCTGTGGCTCCTTGTGTTGCCCACACCACCAGCAGCTCTGCCCCCCAGAGCTGCCAGAGTCCTTGGCCCCCTGGGGCTGTATCATCCCTGAGATTTAGGGGTGCCTGTATACCCCAATCCCCAGCTGGGTTGAGTCCCTGTGGCAGCTCGGGAAGCAAGGTGCTTCCTCACACCCTCCTTACACCAAATCCTCCCCACCACTCCCCTGCCCAACCATATCTCCCTGGTTCTCTCCCTGCTCTGAAGCCAATTTATTCCAGCTCAGAAACTTTATTGCCCCCTGTGTAAGGAATATACAGCATCTATTTAACATAAAATAAAACTCTAAAGCAAACAATGAAGTTTCAATAAAAGAGAGAAGCCTGTGGGTCCCCAGGCCCCCTCTCCCAGCTGTACTAGCAGCTCTGCTCATGAGAGGGCGTGCGGAGCCTGGCTCAGATGGCTCTGGCAGGGAGAAACGTGTTTTATAGCCGCCTGTTGTCATCCAACGTGAACCCTCCTGCTGGATTATTTATTTATGTATTAGACATGGATCAAATTGGTTAAATCCGAGTGAGAGGCAGCAATGCACAATAAAGCAGCCGTTGCTGGATACGAGGGGGCTGCGTGAAACGTGGCCTTCCAATCAGGAGCCAAAAGGTGCCATTTTATGGCTCCTAACGATGGCAGAGCCCAGTTAAATGAATCCCCATTAAAGGAACAGACCTTCTCAAAGGATAAAACATTGGTGTGAGTGGCTTTACTGGGTCCCTGCTCCTCCCTGTTTAACGAGAGAAAGGGTCTGAAATAAGTTTGAGAGTCACCTCGGCTTATCTTTGCCTTCCAGCAGGACACGGTGTATGTGCCTGGTGGAAGCAGAGCTGTCCCTGGGACATTACCTGCCCTTTCCTTCAGCCAACCCTTGGAGATGGGAGAAACTGAGGCATGAGGGGTAAGTTGGGGCAGGCCAGTGCTATGGTGCATTCCCTACCTCGCCAGCTTCCCTATCCACTGGGAACTCTCCCATTTGCAGAGCCAGGTGGAAAAACCCTCTGTGGTCCCTCCTCCAGACCTGGGCTAAACCCAGAGGCTCTGAAGCAGAATTCAGGTGCCTCAGCCCTCATCCCCACCACCCTTCCAGGTGATGAGGAGGACATAGCACGAAGTCCATGCAACTGGGAACACGTTCCTCTCTCCTCCTTCTCTCATGTTTAAATAATGTCCAGAACCCAATCCAAAACCAGACACCCAGCTCCCACTGACCCTTGCTGGAAAGGTCGGCATTTCAGTAATTCCACCTTCCTCTTGGAGCTTTTCCACTTTTGTCTAGTGGGGGCCCAAAATAGCCCAGGAGCGTCCCCGACCACCTGCTATTTATAACCCCAACTTCACAGCAAAACAATGGAGCTGTCTGAGTCTCCCTCCCAAAATAAACAGGCAGCCTTTGAGTGGACGGGAAATCCTGCTGGATCCCTGCTGTGGGGTGTACAGATGGATGGGTAAACAGGCTGCCCTCCGCCCTACTGCGCTGCATCCCCGCCCCCAGCCCAGGCCACCACTGTGGGGGCTGTGAACCCCCCTCGCCTGCCATCCACAGCTTCAGCAGGGATGCTCTCAGCAGCAAAGAAGGGTGAAACAGAGGTTGAACATCCCTGTGTCTCTGTTCTCCAGAGAGCTCAGAGGTGTTCATTTGCTGGGGGGGGGTGATGGAGTGTCCTGGACCTGGGATTGGCAGCCTCAGGAAGCATAGTTGGGGTCCCTCCTGGGTACCAGCTCTATACACCAGACTGGTGGCTTTTTTAACCTTCTGCACACCCAAGTCCTTGCTCCCTGCTTTAACTCCAGTTAACTATTCCATGGGGTGCATGTTCCTAAGCAGGGGCGACTTTGGATTTCTATGCCTGGAGCAACCAGGAGGGATATCAGGCCATGGGAAGCAGCCTTGCTGATTTCCATGTCTGGTCCCAACCCCAGCCCAGGCCAGCAGGAGAAATGAGCAGCAATGGCCTTTTCCACCAGCTACACCAATGATACAGTGACGAATTCATGCCAAGGAAGGATGTGACAGCTGTCACCCCTCATCCTCGTGATAGGCAGGGAAGATCCCCTTGCTCTGGTGAGTGCGGGAGGCTGGTGCTTGCACTGAAATGAGGGCTTCCAGAGGGGCAGGAGAACAGGAACCCGGACATGCAGCCAAGTCCCTGACGTACAGATTGCAAAGCAGGAGACAGAAAGAGCCCCGGCTCCTGGCCCAAGGGGCTGACAACCGCGCTTTCACGGGAGCAGGTCTAAGTGCGACTGACAGGCAGAAGGCAGGGACCATCTCCCGTGCCAGCAGGACACCTACGCAAGCCTCCCCAGGTCTGTGGAACCCACTGCCTGCCTGCAGTGCCACAGAGGCTGCTGTTGGGATGCGTCTCCCCAGATCAGCAGCATCCGCATCCGTGGCGCGCCCCAGAGCCTCGCACACACCCACGCTGTGGTGTCTCATGCCGGGCAGTGGTACCCAGCTCCATGGTGTGGGATGCTGGGTTGTGGGGAGAGGGAAAGGATGGGCTTGGCAAGTCCTCAGGTTATGTTTGTGAATGCCAAGGTGGAGGGGGATGCATATATCCTGCCTCTCCCTTCGGGAGCAGGGACATCCTGATATCCATGAAAAACTCAAAGGATGCCGCACTGTGTGTGTGGCTGGACTGTGCTGGGGTGTAGGTGTTACCCTGCTGGATGGAGCAGAGGGCATTGATTTGCACAGGGCCAAACAAAGGGTGCACATCCCTGATTGGGATGGACCTGCGCCTACTCCCTGCTTGTCCTTCCCTGCCCTGTGCCAAACCCGCTCCTGGGAGACACTGAATGGCTCTTTTCAGGCTTTTGTTTTTTGGCAGCTGTGTTTTTGTTTTCTTTGCCCCTCTCTCTCCCCTTCCCTCTCTGGTTACTCGGTAGGCTCAGCTCCAGTGTTTACCCTCCTCGGCTCTGCCGTGCTTCCCCTGCTGCCGACCCCCCGCTTGCCAGCGCCAGAGAGATGAAAAGGCAGAGCCTCGGTGCTCCCGCTGTTTGCACGGTCTCCTGGGCTCCGCGGAAATGTTTAACTCCAAGTGTTGAAACCGAATATTTCCTGCTCTGAAAGCAGAGGTCTCAGCGTGCAGACGCACCCCTGTGTGGAGGAATTTATCCACAGGCACCTTCGGAGGGCATCTGCAAACGGATCCCAGCCCAGGTGGGGACTGAAACGAACCCTCCTGATCCCACTGGGGATGGAGGGCTAGATCCTCAACACTCAGTTACACTGATACAGATCCGACATAATTCCCATGAGTCCTCTGAGAAAGGCCTGATTCACCACAAAGCAGCCGGTAATGAGACCTGGGTTTCAGGCTGGGATTGGAGCTCAGGTAATGGGGATACAAGTGTGACACTAAATAGACATGGAGCCGTGAAGTCATCCCTGCTCCTGCCCTGCGCCTGTGCCCTGACAGCTCTGTGAGGCTAATGCAGGGTGGGAGTGGGTCACTTGGAAGGGAGAGCTTTCCCTCACAAGCACAATGCGAAGTGCTGTTTTGGAGAGCATTTAAGTGAGAAAAAAGGGAACCCAGCCCACCAACAGCCATGACAGCATGGGATGCATACAGCCCCTCGCCACTACGCAGCACAGAGGAAACAATGCTCCCAAATCACTCAATGAGCAAAGTTTACAAGGCATGAGGGCTCTCTCTGCCCAGGAGCTCAGCACATTGCCAAATGAACGAAATAAATTGTCTATAACTCAATTGTTCATCTGCACTGATGGCTTAATGCAGAGTCAGGTGCCTCCCAAGGAACTGTTGCAACGGGTGGTACAGGGAGTCCACCCGCTTCTCCCTGTGCTGTTCTTCCCTGGGGCCACCTGAAACTTGCTTCCACGAGGACCAGCTGTTCTCTCCCAACTCCTGATTTCTCCTATCTCAAACTGTTTTCCACTTCTCTGAGTACCAAACCCCCCCTCCTCTGAGATGCCTCCCTTCATCTCATCCTCGTATTTCCTCTCTCTCCCTCTTAAACACTCCATCATTTAAACCCAATCAAAGCCAGTTGATCTGAAACTCTTCTGAATAGAAACGACCCCACGCTGGGGCCCCGCGCGCTGCTTCGGGGGCCGCACTGAAACCAGGTGGGTGGTAATGGAAGTGCTGACACAGGCTCCTTGACAGCATCGCCACTGCCAGCGCCTGTAATAATCCCTCCCGGCTGCCCTGCAACTCGGTTTCCGCGGCGATTATTTTCCATTCGATGATGGGCTTGCTGTTATTTGTGTACTGATAGCAGATATCTCGTGTGACAAGCCTCCTTTCCTTCCAGCTCAAAAAACAATAATTCAAAGAAAGCCCCACATTAGCTTGGAAATAGCAAAACACTCACTCTTCTCCCGGCGAGCCTGCGCCACAACTGATGAGGCTCGCAGAGCCC